ACCGATACCGAGAATTACACCCAGAGTCCATACATACAGATTAAGTACCGATACCGGGAATTACACCCGGCATACAGGACAGGAGAAGTGCTGCTGTGCAGAGTCCAAACATAAAGAATAAGTACAGATACCGAGAATTACACCCGGCATACAGGACAGGAGAAGTGCCACTGTGCAGAGCCCATACATACAGAATAAGAACCCGGATACAGGGACAGGATACTGCGAGAATTACACCGGCATACAGGACAGGAGACGTGGGACTGCGCAGAGTCCATACATACAGAATAAGTACAGATACCGAGAATTACACCCGGCATACAGGACTGGAGACGTGGGACTGCGCAGAGTCCATACATACAGAATAAGTACAGATACCGAGAATTACACCCGGCATACAGGACTGGAGACTGTGGGACTGCGCAGAGTCCATACATACAGAATAAGTACAGATACCGAGAATTACACCCGTCATACAGGACAGGAGAAGTGCTACTGTGCAGAGTCCATACATACAGAATAAAAGCAGATACCGAGAATTACACCCGGCATACAGGACAAGAAAAGTGCTACTGTGCAGAGTCCATACATACAGAATAAGAAAAGATACTGATAATTTCACTCGGCATACAGGACAAGAGAATTGCTACTGTGCAGAGTCCATGCATACAGAATAAAAGCAGATACTGAGAATTATAGCCGGCATGCAGGACAGAAGTGGTACTGTACAGAGTCCATACATACAGAATAAGAACAGATGCCGAGAATTATACCCAGCATACAGGATAAGAGAATTACTACTGTGCAGAGTCCATACATACAGAATAAGGACAGATACCGAGAATTACACCCGGCATACAGGACTAGAAAAATGGGAACTGTGCAGAGTCCATACATACAGAATAAAAGCACATACCGATAATTACATCCAGCATACAGGACAAGAGAAAGAAATGGTACTGTGCAAAGTCCATACATACAGAATAAGAACCGATACCATGAATTACAACCGGCACACAGGAAAAAAAGAAATGGTGCTGTGCAGAGTCCATACATACAGAATGAGAACAGATACCGAGAATTACACCCGGCATACGGGACAGGAGAAGTGGGACTCTGCAGAGCCTGTGGCTTCCTGTGCGGAACAGCTGCAGGCTGCGTGGTGCTGACCTCCTCTGATGTCTGTTACTAGCCCAGGGTTGGGCTGCTCTGGGCTGGGATTCCTCCCAGGAGAGTCCTGTGCATCTCGGCCTACACATGGAGATCCAGGTGAAGCTGTGGTTGGTGGTGAAGCAGGAAGACGGAGTTCGGGGAATGGGAAGCAGATGGCAGAGACTATATAAGTAGACGTGGGAATGTTGGTGATGGAAAGTCCAGTATGAGAAGTTCTGATGATACGCTAAGATGAAGTCGGTCCAGCAGTATGATGTCTTTCAGTAAAATGTGAGTTCTGGGAGTGCAGCTCAAGGCAGTCTGCCATTGCAGCCACAGCAAGCCCAGCAGAGCAGAGCCCATTCAGTTCAGTCAGTCCAGCAATGTAATGTTTGTCCAAGCCATGGATGTCCAACTCCATATAGTCCGCCATTACAGGGCACAGCAAGCTCAGGAGAGCAAAGCCCATGCTGTGCAGAGCGGAGCCCATACAGTTCATACGGCTCAGAAAAAATGATATTGTCACCCAGCACAGTCCAAGCCATGGAGGTCCAACTCCATGCAGTCCACCATTACAACCACAGCAAGCCCAGCAGAGCCCATGTTGTACAGAGCGGGGCCCATGCCGTGCAGAGCGGAGCCCAAACAGTTCATACGGCTCAGAAAAGTGATATTGTCACCAGCACAGTCCAAGCCATGGAGGTCCAACTCCATGCAGTCCATTACAACCACAGCAAGCCCAGCAGAGCCATGTTGTGCAGAGCGGGGCCCATGCCGTGCAGAGCGGAGCCCTAACAGTTCATACGGCTCAGCAATGTAATGTCACCCAGCACAATCTAAGCCGTGGAGGTCCAACTCCATGCAGTCAGCCATTACAGGCACAGCAAGCCAAGCAGAGCCCATGCTCATACGGCTTTAGAAAAGTGATATTGTCACCCAGCACACTCCAAGCTCTGGAAGTGCAAACTCAAGGCAGTCAGCCATTACTACTAAACAAGCCCAGCAGAGCGGAGCCCATGCCGCACGGAGCACAGCCCAGGCTGTTCGAGGCGGGGGCCCATACAGTTCAGAGCGGAGCAGAGGCATCTGTCACTCCCAGTACTCCATGCACATATGCAAGGACTTTGCTGGAGCAGAAAACTATGAAGGAGAACTTACAGCAGTGTGTAATGGTGGGCAGTAGCCAGGAACGCTCATCACGCTCCAAACTCCAGCAGAATAGAGATGATGGCGGCAAGAGAAAAAGACAGTGAGTAACCCTCCACAATCTGCCCCGGCAAGTCCTTCTACACCCAGCAAAGGACCCTCAGCCAGTACTGCTGATGGGGATCACGATTTTAAAAGTCCTGCAGATATGAAGCAGGAAGGGTTAAAGTAGTCACCTGTGCTGCTCCTGGCCAATAAGATTCCTTCTCTGGTGAAGAGAATGGAGACCCTGAGGAAGACCAAGGCTAAGATCCAGAAACAGATTGACTCTGTCTACAGACTCAAGGCTGCCTACCCCAAAAAAAGAAATCCTATTTGACGGCAAACTAAACTCCCTGGCCATTGAACTGGCTGGTATATCAAAGGACATGTTTAATTGCTGTTCTGGAAGAACTGGGACCAGTTGGGGTGGTGTCCCGGAAATCGTGATCGGTTTGAAGTGCAGTTAAGTGGAAGGGCTCAATCTTCTTCAGAGTCAGGCTCCGGGGAACTGGTTCACGCATGCTGCAAAAAATGTGCTTCCTGAAAGAAAGACTCTGAGGGGACAGTGAGGAACATCACAAGCCTGGAGCTGATTTATCTGCTGGACGTCCAGCTCTGGAGGGATAGCGGGCAGCATCAGTTCATCCCAGCAGACTTTCACAGTACAGGAAACCCAAAGAAGCTACATGGTCCGGACTCCCAGCACATGGATCATGTGAACAGTGTTGCTACCCCCAATTCACATGGTGGGATCAATGCTGGGGAGACTGGTTTTCATGATGGGGTAACTGGTATTGATGTGGATGAGGACTGGTGATGGCTAGTGGTGATGTGATGGTCAGTGCTAATATCACTAATGTTGATGTGGAGTTTCTGATGTCACGAATACTGATTGTAGGTATGTCTGAGTGGGGTCATGACCAGTCTGAGGACTCTGAGAATGTGGCAATGGAGGAGTCTGTCAGGGCTCCCAGGTATGACCAGAGGTGTGTGTGACTGAAGCAGGAAACGCAGACTTCAGATATGTGATTAACAATGTAATTTATTAACCACTAACACTACAAACATAAACGCAGTGCAATACTAAACATAATACAGTGCAACAAACCCAACCAACCACAACCAGATAACAGTACATACAAGCAAAGCGTCGTCAGGCAGGCCAAGTCAATATCAATTGGGCAGGTAGGTACAGGGGGAGCAAGCGGAGAATGGTCGCGGGGTCACAGGCCAGGTTCAGCAGGTAGCAAGCAGCGTAATAACAGAGGGTCAGGCAGAGGGATGGTCAGGGTCACAAGCCTGGGATCAGAACAGGTAGCAAAGGAACAGAAACAGGATGCAGGACAGATACAGGGCCAGGACAAACACAAACACACAGGCAGAGTCTGCAGTCTGGCCATCCCTTAAATACACCAGTATCATCAGTTTCCAGGTGTTAGCTGGCTGAAAGGTTGAGTTCTCTGATTGCTGGGAGCACCCGCTGGCCAGCCCTGGTACTGCAGATCAAAAGGAGGTGAGTCCCACCATTGCTGCCAGTCCATTCCTGACAGTACCCCCCCTCAAAGGAGCGGCCTCAGGACGCTCCCAAACAGTCCTAGCTGGGAAAAAATGTTCCACCGCCCGGGTCTGGTGGTAACTGGCGGGATATCAAAGACTGGCACAGCCCGGGCAGCGGGACTCGGGCGGGCAGCGGTACACCGGGCAGAGGCACATCGGGCTGGTCTCCGGGCAGACTTCCGGGCAGTAGGCAACTTCGGGCAGGGCTGGGCGGACTCCGGGCAGAGGCACCATCGGGCTGGACTCCGGGCAGAGGCACATACGGGATGGACTCCCGGGCAGAAGGCACATCGGGCTGGACTCGGGCAGAGGCACATCGGGGCTGGGACTCCGGGCAGAGGCACATCGGGCAGGACTCCGGGCAGAGGCACATCGGGGCTATCAGGCGAACCAGCGGCAGGAGCGGGCCATCAGGGGCGGAGACGGCAGGCATCCGGGCCCCCGGGCGCGGCAGGACCGCGGCCCACGGCAGGCACGGGCTCCACCGGGCGGAGCGGGCAAGCACCGGGCCGCCGCGGCGGGGTTGGCCGACAGGCACCGGGCCCCCGGGCGGGGCGACAGGCACCGCGGCCTCCCCGGGCGGAGTGCGACAGCACCGGGCACTCCGGGCTGGGGCGGGACAGGCTATCGGGGCCACCAGGAGGAACTACAGGGTCTCGGGCCGCACTCAGGCGGAGGGGCGGGTGCCGGGACCCCCAGATGGAGCGACAGGCCTCGGGCCCCCAGGCGGAGGCGTACCATGATCGGACCCCCAGGCGGCTGGCAACCTGGCATCGGGCCCCCAGCGGGCGACTAGGCACCGCGGGCCCCAGGCGGGGCGACAGGCCTCGGGCCCCCGGGCGGGGCGACAGGCCTCCGGGCCCCCGGGGCTGGGCAGGTCGGGACCAGGCATCGGGCCCGGCGGGGCGAGGCGGGCGGGCGTGCGAACAGGGGGCCCTCGGGGCGGAGCGACAGGTCTCGGGCCCCCAGGGGGTGGCGGGCGCTGGACCCCCAGGTGGAGCGGCGGGCGCTGGACCCCCAGGCGGGGCGACAGGCAGTCGGGCCCCCAGGCGGGGCGACAGGCCTCGGGCCCTCAGGCGGGGCGACAGGCATCGGGCCCCCGGGTGGAGGCGACAGGTCTCGTGCCCTCAGGCGGAGCGGCGGGCGCCGGACCCCCAGGTGGAGCGACAGGCATCGGGCCCCCCAGAGCGGGGCCACAGGCATATCGGGCCCCCGCGGGGCGACAGGCATCGGGCCCCCAGGCGGGCAACAGGCGGGCCCCCAGCCCGGGGCCGACAGGCACCGGACCCCCAGGCGGCAAACTACAGGTCTCGGGCCCTCATGTGGAGCGGAGCAGGCGGGCGCCGGACCCCCATGGCAGGAGCGACAGGTCTGCGGGCCCTCAGGCGGACGGCGAGCGGCGGGCGCACAGGGTGGACCCTCCGGGCAGGCGGAGCGACAGGCCTCGGGACCCCCCAGGCGGAGCGACAGGGCTTCGGGAGGGGCGGGGGGGCGGGGGCCCCTCAGGCGGAGCGCGGGCGCCGGACCCCCCAGGCGGGAGCGACAGTCTCGGGCCCTCAGGCGGAGCGGCGGGCGCCGGACCCCCAGGTGGAGCGACAGGTCTCAGGGCCCTCTCGGGCGGAAGCGGCAGGCACCGGGCACCCGGGCGGGGCGACAGGCCTCGGGCCTCCCGGGCGGGGCGAACAGGCCTCGGGCCCCCGGGCGGGGCGACAGGCCTCGGGCCCCCCCGGGCGGGGCGACAGCCTCGGCCCCCGGCGGGGCGACAGGCATCGGGCCCCCGGGCGGTGCGACAGGTCTCGGGCCCTCGGGCGGAGCGACAGGTCTCGGGCCCCCAGGCGGGGGTGGGCGGGCGCTGGACCCCCAGGTGGAGCGCCCGGGCGCTGGACCCCCAGGCGGAGCGACAGGTCTCGGGCCCCCAGGCGGAGCAGCGGGCACCGAGTCACACCAGGCACGACAGTGGCACCGAGTCCGAGTCAACTGGCATGACCGCTGGCACAGGTCAGACATGGACCGTCTGGCTGGACAGCGGGCATCGGGTCGCCCAGGCATCAGGGTCATTTGGCTTCGACCGCGGGCACCGCGTCATCTGGCAAGGCATGGGCTCCGAGTCAACTGGTATGACCGCGGGCACTGGTCAGACATTGGGATCGTCTGACTGGACAGCGGGCATCGGTCACCAGGCATCAAGTCATTTGGCTTGACAGCGAGCACCCGCGTCATCATCTGGCAAGGCAGTGGGTTCCGAGTCAACTGGCATGACCGCGGGCACTGAGGGCAGACATTGAATCGTCTGGCTGGACAGCGGGCATCGGGTCACCAGGCATCAGTCATATGGCTCGACAGCGGGCACCGCGTCATCTGGCAAGGCAGTGGGCTCCGAGTCAAACAGGCACGGACATGTGTGGCACCGGGTCATCAGGTTACCGGATTGTCTGGGCTCGACAGCAGGCATCGGGTCACCAGGTATGACAGAGGGCACTGGGTCACCAGGCAACAGGTCATTTGGCTCGCCAGCGGGCACCCGCGTCATCTGGCAAGGCAGTGGGCACCGAGTCACCAGGTAGCAAGGCAATCGGGTCCCCCAGGTTATGGAGGTCCCTGTGGACAGCGGCTCTGAGTTCTCAGATCAATTGGCACGACAGCGGCACCGGCATCAGGTACCGGATCATCTGGATCAACAGCAGGGCATCGAGTCAACTGGCCTAATAGGATCGTCAGGCTGGATCAGTTCATCATGCTGGGTAGAGGCATCAGCTGAATGCCGGCGTCCTGGCTGAGTAGAGGCTTCAGGCCGAGTAGAGGCTTCAGGCCGAGTAGAGGCTTCAGGCCGAGTAGAGGCTTCAGGCCGAGTAGAGGCATCAGGCCGAGTAGAGGCATCAGGCCGAGTAGAGGCTTCAGGCCGAGTAGAGGCATCAGGCCGAGTAGAGCATCAGGCCGAGTAGAGGCTTTCAGGCTCCGAGTAGTAGGCTTCAGGCCGAGTAGAGGCTTCAGGCCGAGTAGAGGCTTCAGGCCGAGTAGAGGCTTCAGGCCGAGTAGAGGCATCAGGCTGAAGAGAGGCATCAGGCTGCGTACAGGCTTCAGGCCGCGTACAGGCTTCAGGCCGAGTAGAGGCTTCAGGCCGAGTAGAGGCTTCAGGCTGAACCACGGAAGGCAGGCTCACCGGTTTGGATACTGGCAGGATGGTATTTGGTTGGAAAGAATTTTCGCTTTTTTCTGGTTTTAACTACTGGAGCACTGCAAGTAAACGCAGGTCTGCAAACGAATGGAGCAGCTGGAGACAGAGAAGAACTGGAGGATGAACAGGAGAGGGGAGCAGTTTGCTACAGAGGGCTTTTTTTACAGGGTTAAAGGCAGGATAGGTGCAGCGAGTGGGAACAGGGGGTACTGACATGCGGTAGATAGCCAAGTATACTGGGCTGTACCTGGAGGAGCTGGTGGGAATACAGGAGTAGAGTTTAGAAGCAGGACTGGGTTTTTGTAAGCTGACTGAGGCTGGGTGCAACAAGTCTGTCCATGTCTGCAGTAGGGGTTGAACAAAGCTGAGCTTACACAAAGCCTGTCTGGTCAATGACTGCAGTGCGTTTATACAATCTCTTAGTGTCTGTGGTGAACATGTGGAATAAACGCTCCAGAAAGTAACCCACATCATCCTCTAATAACCACACCCAGGGACTCTACCTGGTCTGCACTAAATGGTGGCAAAATTCATCCCTGCATTCGGGGGTACCAGATGAAACCAACTCTGCACAAACCTCAATCAAAGGCTGCACCTCAGAGAACTCTGTGCCCTGATCTACTAGAACATGAGCGAGCGTTATACATTCTAGCAGTTCATCCCGGGTATACTCCTTCAGAGTTTGATAAGCATACTCTCTGTCATCAAACACTAGCAGATATAAATACGCAACCTCATCCAGATCCATCCTTCCCATCAACAAGCCAAGATGGCTTCCCTGTGCAGCCTCTTCTGGTCAGGATTGGCCTTGGTTGTAATGTCAGGGCTCCCAGGTATGACCAGAGGTGTGTGACTGAAGCAGGGGGAAACGCAGACTTCAGATATGTGATTAACAATGTAATTTATTAACACTAACAATACAAACATAAACGCAGTGCAATACTAAACATAATACAGTTGCAAACAAACCCAACCAACCACCCACAGATAACAGTACATACAAGCAAGCGTCGTCAGGCAGGCCGAGTCAATATCAATTGGGCAGGTAGGTACAGGGGGAGCAAGCGGAGAATGGTCGGGGTCACAGGCCAGGTTCAGCAGGTAGCAAGCAGCGTAATACAGAGGGTCAGGCAGAGGGATGGTCAGGGTCACAAGCCTGGGATCAGAACAGGTAGCAAAGGAACAGAAACAGGATGCAGGACAGATACAGGGCCCAGGACAAAAACACAACACCCAAGGGCAGAGTCTGCAAGTCTGGCCATCCCTTAAATACACCAGTATCATCAGTTCCAGGTGTTAGCTGGCTGAAAGGTTGAGTCTCTGATTGCTGGGAGCACCCGCTGGCCAGCCCTGGTACTGCAGATCAAAAGGCAGGTGAGTCCCACCATTGCTGGCCAGTCCATTCCTGACAGAGTCAGTTCAGAATAACCCTCATGACTTTCCCCCCCCCCTTTGGTTGAGCCGACACCTGCGTCACAACGGAATGGTGGTCCATCTGGTCATGTCCTTCCTCAGAATGCCTGGAGTCGTGGGGGCCCCTTCGTTTTCCAACAGTATCAGTTATACTGGTCAGGGCCTTTAAGAGGAGGAACATGGTCAGGTTCAAGCATAGGGCTTCCAGAGAAGAGCAATCTGATAGTAGGTTTGTAGTTAGGGACTTGCTGTGTCAGCAGATGGGGTTTGTACCCGCACTGACAGCCTCGGGCAGGCAGACAGTGTTCAGTGGGCTGAGGGGCAGCGGTCGGCTGTGCCCTTTTCATTTGTTTCAGTTCCTGCCTCTGTGGAGAACATTCCCGGTCAGAAGAGAAGGCATAGGAAAGACAAGGCTACCCCTAAACCTGAAAGTGAATGAACCCTAGTGCAGAAGTCAGCTAAAAAAGTGAGAAGGGCACCAGAAGTCGGTATGATGTCTTATCAGAGTCGGATGCTGACTCCTGTGTTCTAGAGGCCCAACTGGAGCAAGAATTTAAAAAAGAGGAAAGGGAATATGTGGCTGGCTCAGGAGATGACTTGCCCTCTAAGAGGCGGCTGCCCCCTTCTCCTGTATCTGCAGAATCTGATATGGAAACTGGTAGTTGGCAGAGTGACTCATATTCTGATTTATAATGATGGGGGCTTTATTTTTATCCTCTTTGCTGTGATGGCAGGTTTTCTCTAAACATTGTTTCCAGCAATGTAAACATCATAAAGAACAGAAGGACTTGGCACGCAGTTTTTGAACACCTTAGGTACCTAGACGCTGATGTCTATTTTTTACAAGAGACGCACCTAACATCTGTCAGTTATTTTGCAAACCGGTTTAAGTGATGTGTTTGCACAGAATGGCAGGAAGCCAGGCTTCACCTTCTCTTATGGTAATATTAAGAGCAGACTAGATATGGCATTACTGTAGAAAGTCCTATAGAATTGGTGATCAAAATGAGTGAAAAGTTGGTACCTTATTCGGATCATGTGACCCTATGCTTTTGCCTGGGAACTTGTAGGCATTCTGATATGGGTAGGGGGCTATGGAGGCTCAACTCCAATCTTTTAGAAGATGAATCAGTTCACCAACAAGTACAAATTCTCCTGCAACACCATGCAGAGAGACTAGACTCTATAACTCTACTGTGGATTGATGGGAGGATGTTAAAAAAGAAATCTCTTCTCTCTTGAAGAAGCCGTCACAAAAGTGGGGGAAAAGTAAATATAGCCATTATCTCAGGCTGCGGAAAAAGCTGGAGCCCCTTTATTCAGGTGGGGTGGAGGCAGGGAAGAAAATTGATCAAATAAAATCCGAGATAAGTCACTATCAGTATAGCAGATGCAACTCCGTGATATTTGAACAAGATTATGGATTATGACAAGATTATGGATCCCAGAGGGAGAATTGTCGGGATAAGGCTGATAAAAAGTTGATACCAGGCGACTCAGGGCCTTTTTCAGGAGTCTCAGAAGGGAATTCTTGGAGTTTTAGGATCATACTATGTTGACTTGTTTCAGGAAAAGGGTTTTCATAAGAAGAAGATGAAACCGTTCTTAGAGGCGGTTCAAGGTCCTGATATTGACAATTTAGACTTCTCCCTTTTGACAGTAGATATAATGGTGGAGGAGGTTAGGGAGGCTATTAATAAATTATGTTAGAAGAAGGCACTAGGACCTGATGGCATTACAGCTGAGTTTTATAAGAAATTTAAAGAGTTCTTGGCTCTGATTCTGGTGGATGTGTTTAAAAGTAAAAGTATCATCTTTAATTCTGCTATTTAAGTGTAAAGAGTTTAGTGACATCGAGAACTGGAGATCTATTGCCCTCTTGAATAAGGACAGGAAGATTCTGGCAGAGATTCTATTTTCAATATTGTATTGTTTTTCTCCTGCACTATTGTCAGTATGGCACAGTAAAAGGGCAGAATATTTCTGGTGCTGTCATATCCTTTAGGGAAGCATTTGAGAGGTGTAAGGTTCTTGTGTGAGTAAAGTATGTTGTGAGTTTAGACCAAGCAAAAGCCTTCGACAGGATTGACCATGGGTATCTGTGGGTGATTTTGTTAAAGTTCGGTATCCCAAGGTCATTTGTTGATTGACTAAGAACTTTATATCAGAAGCCTGAGAGCTTCCCTCTCATCAATGGGTGGTAGGGTGGCAATTTTGGGGTTGAGGCGAGGATGAGGCAGTGTTGCCCCTTGAGTCGCCTCTTGTATATTTTTGCCATCGATCCTTTTGAGATCACTACAGGAGTGTGGATTTCAAGGAGTACCTGTGCCCCATGCCTCAGCCCTATCTGTAGTCCCCTATGTGGATGACGTCACTGTAGTGGTTTCTGCTCCTCATGAGGCCCAGATCTTAGCAGCTGCCATTCGAACTCACTCTGAGGACTCTAGGTCTCTTGTCAACCTTGAGAAGAGTGAAGCTCTCTGGACACTTCATGGTGATCCAGATTTTGATCTGCCCCAATTTACAAAAGCCTCAAGTTATCTTAAGATCTTAGGGGTTAAGTTTGGTAGGGAAGATAATGCCAGGCAAATTGGGAGGAGAAATTGGATGTTGAAAATGCAAAGGTTCAGCGATGGAAGAATTGCAAGCTGACCTACAGAGAAAGGGTCACAATGTTTATTACAGGTGCTTTTATAGCGCCGTCAATTTACCCAGTGCTTTACATATATATTGTACATTCACATCAGTCCCTAACTTTCATACATACACATACTAGGGCCAATTTGGACAGGATCCAATTAACTTACCGGCATGTCTTTGAAGTGTGGGAGGAAACTGGAGTACCCGGAGGAAACCCATGCAGGCACAGGGAGAACATGCAAACTCCAGGCAGGTGGTGCTGTGATTGGGATTCGAAGCAACGACCCTAGTACTGCCAGGCTGAAGTGCTATCCATTTAGCCACTATGCTATTGAAGACTTACATGGTTCCTATTTTTCTGTATGTCTCTATGGTTTTTACTTTGCAAGAATCTTTCTCTGCTAGACCCTACAGTCTGTTTTTTCAGCTCTTCTGGGGGAATAGACTGAACCAAATAAAAAGGGGGTTACTTACCTGCAGACGAAGGAGGGTAGGTTGAATATGATAAACCATAAGGTGTTTTT